GACCAGACTGGCTCGTTAAAACAGGACCACTCGAAGGTGGTCTCGGCTCTTGACCGTGGAGGTGTTCTTCGCATCTCGAAACGGGCTCGTACTGATATTACGGACGAAGACGACCAACGTAAAACGTAGGATGTGTACGCATCTTACGGGGCAGTTCAATCGTGTATGCGTTGCCATTCGGCGCAACACACGAAATGGATCGATTTACTTGTGCAGTAGTTTACCACTGCCCACGTTTGTCACTGCGTGTTTTGGTAGATTTACTATGGAAAGTAAAACTAAATCACCTTCATTAAATGAAAGAACACTTGCTCTTCCATGTTTGTCTGCGCTTCTTTTCTGTACTATAGTGCATCTGCAATATAGTCTTGAACGAAGCAGACAACCGCTACGCGGGCCAGCAGAAGTTCCTCTGCTGATTCATTCTTGTCAACAGCAGTGCGCTTCGTGTGCACTGCTGAAAGAACGCTGTCTTCACCAGTGATGACTTCATCGACCTCACTGTGGCAGTCGTTGGCGATGCTGAATATGCCAGCATCGTCGTCATCGTCATCATCGAGGTCGATCGCATCGACATCAGCATCTATCACGTCGACACCATTGTCAACGGTTGATGAGCAAGAACCAGATCGGTTTTTGTTTGATCAAGTCCACCCCCTCTCATTAAACTAGATTCACATTGTAATAAGGCGGGTAAACGTGGATGGCGTAGGCCATTCAAGAAGAGCGGTGTTTGCGTTGTCGACGCATGCACCGAGTTGTTGATGGCGAAGTCCACCATCGGCAAGAATTCACTCCAACTCGTATACGAATGAACATAACCTTGAAGTATCTCTCCGAGGACGCGGTTGACGCGTCCCGCTTGACCATCTGTTTCAGAATGGTCAGAAGTTGACATCTTCAAACGTGTTCCAAGTTAACGGAACCCGTATGGCCAGAATTCCGCTGTGAAGCCGAGGGTCCCTATCGGACACGAGTTCACGGGGTAACCTGTGATGTCGGAAGATAGTATCGATGAAGACACGCGCACATCCCTGGGCTGTGATTGACATCGGTACTGCAACAATATGTACCATCTTGCTGAGCCGATCAACAAGCACAAGAATAATGGTATTCTTGTGAACGTCTTTGGGAAAGTCGAAGACGAAGTCCATCGATACGGACTGCCAACACTCTGCCGGAATCGGAAGAGACTGTAAGGGTGCGCGGGACGAAGGACTAGGCTTCACCCGTTGACAAACTTCGCAAGCGCGAATGTATTTACGCATAAACTCACACTGGAGGGGCCAGTAGAAGTCACGACATACGGTGAGGTAAGTCTTTTCTCTACCGCGATGTCCACTTGTTGGGGCATCGTGACACTCAAACGTGATGCGCAATCGCAAATCATTATGAGCGGGAAAGATGACACGAGGTGTGTCGCCGTTGAATGCTGTATAGTACAGCTGTCCATCACAAACAGAGTACCGTTCGGTTGAGAAGCTGTATCGAGACGACAAGCTTTTCAAAGCTTGACTGCATGGATTAGACACGTAATCCATCAATCGCGGAAAGGAATCATCTTCTGCGTATGATTTTTGCACGTCCTCAAGCAGATTCGACGACGGAACACTCACTGATTTTGTCGAGACAGCGGGATCACCCCTACATTTGAGATGAGCAGTCGGCTCGAAATCGGGCCGACGAGAAAGAGCATCAGCGATGACATTTTATTCGTCCTGGTTTTTACTCGACAGAGAAGTTGTGCTCCGCGAATAAAGACATCCACCTCGCTATTCGTTGCGAGAGGTGTGGACTGTTTACGGCCGTGCGTAATGACGCATGATCGGTCTAAACGACTAAGGGCCTATCTCCGAAAAGATATACCCGAAACTTGGCCAGTGCATATTTCATGGTAAGGAGTTCCTTGTCATGAACCGGATAATTTCGCTCAGCTGCTTGGAGCTGACGCGACTAATGACAGACGACGCGCTCAACGCCGTCTGAGTTGTACTGCATAAATGCGCAGCCGATTGCAAAATCGCTGGCGCCACAGACCACATGAAATGGCCTGTCCTGATCTGCAATCGCCAACACAGGCGATTGCAACAAGCTTTTCTTGATGTCCTTAAAAGAGTGCTGACACTCAGCGATCCATGAACACCTCTCGTTTTTCTTTAATAGACGAGAGAGATGTACAGTCATCTCGACATAGTTGCGCAAGTGTTTGTGCAAGTACGCAGCCAAGCCAAGAAACTTTCGAAGTCCCTTGACGTCGACTGGCACAGGATAGTAGCTAATCGCCTTGATCTTTTCTGGATCAGGGCGTACACCGTTTCTACCCACGATGCAGCCAAAAGGTGGTATTTCGTTAGCTGCGAATATATACTTCTTGAGGTTCGCGAACAACTTATGCTCTCGCATTAGCGTAAGGATTGTCCGAACACGGATTCTATGAACCTTTACGTCCGTCTTTCCATCCATAGCCCGTCTATGGAAGAAGTCATCGTCGAAGTAAATCGGTGCGAAATCGCGCACCAATCGCAACAGGTTCATAACACATCTGTTGAACGTTGCAGGGGCGTTGCTTATCCCCTGTTACATCACTAGCCACTCCCAGAGCATACCACGGGGGGGGGGTGCTCACTGCTAGGTGAGGGATTTCCCGTTCACACATGAGGATCTGATAGAATCCATCCATCAAATCCATAGATGAAAAGATGGTACTTTTTGCAATACCATCTATAATGACGTCCTTTCTTGGGATCGGCGTTTGAGCCGGTACCGTTGCAGCAATCAATTTGTTGAACGCGTGCACTAAACCGCCACCTGCATGTGGTCTTTTGCACACAGAAGGTCGGAGAGCTGTGTGGGGATGTTGATTCCCTCACACGACCAGCAGCTAAACGATCGGCAAAGAATTTGTCGATCGCTGTGACTTGTTCACGAGGAAGTGGCACTGCTTCATGACATAGTATTTCGAACCAGGTTTCAGCTCGATCTCATGCTGATTGCCTTTGTCTTTGAGCTGCTCGCATGGCACGAATTCCGGGAAACATCCATGAATTCAACCGATTTGTATTTGCAGACTCCCAAAATTGAGACGTGTATCGCTCAATCCGGTTCTTCTCATCGAGGACACTCTCATCTATAGATGAGCTACTGAGAACCCGTTCGTTCTCAGCAAACACTTGTGCCGACCGATTATCGGCGACGTACTCGTCCTCTGTGACGAGTACGCAGATCTGCTTGATCTTGTCACTACGCAGATCTCGCAAGAATCTTTTAGATTCTAGCGTTTGCAACTTGACCACATCCGAAGCTGACTTCGGGGGCGTCACCAGATCAAGTGTATAAGCGCCTACACTTGATCCTTCATTCATCAAGACATTAAATGACTCGGTGATTTCCTGGGGAAACACATCCGCATGTAATTGGGGATCCACACCCTCAACATAACTCTCTCGGAAGTTATCACTCTCAGGAACACCGGAACTTTCTTCCAATACGTGTACTGACTGTGTGTGCTTCCGGAGTCACACCCTCTTCACTCGACTCTCTTTTAGTTGATCATGCTCGCTGTACATATGACTCTGTGTTAGTCTATCTCGCTGTAACGTGTTCACATCCTAAACAACACTCATCTCTCTTATTGTGTGTACCCTTCTTGGAATGCATTCATGTTTCTACCACGCGATCAATTCGAGTGGTGAACCTTCGGTACAGCCTGTGTCTCTACACAGGTGCCGGAAGCTGGTTCCACAGTGCAGTGGCCTTCTACACTGTAATCTTGTGCAGTCGTACTAACGAAAGTACCGCAAGTGAGGCCATCGCACTCACTCTTAGTACATCCACACGCTTGTGGACGCTCCAAAACTTTCATCATATGGCCATCCGATGAACAACGGCAGGCATCTTCACGGATCGATGCTGCCAGCTAACCCATGGCTGGTACATTCTAAGCCATGGCAGACCAAGGATGACATCAAATTTGTCATCCAAATCTAATAAGGTGAAGTCATCATCGTACTGCTTTCCTTCTAGAGTGTAGTGAATTCCCACTTCACGTTTGTTCACAGTTACGGATGCTCCTGTAGCAAGGAACACCGTCATCCTCGTTCAAAGGATATCTAGAATAGCATAGTTGAGCCTACTATCATCTAGTGACTGGCGTCGAATAAAATCGTTCGATGCCCCACAGTCAACCAGGGCGCGAAGTGACATTCCTTTTGTCACTTCGATCTTCGAAGTGATGAAAGACTCCGCATCACTAGGGGCAGTAACACACAGCGACTGTGTGTTGGGAGCAATCTTCGTCAATAGTCCTGCAAATTCTCTTGACGTTGCTGGATCAGCAGGGTGCTCCGCCCCTACTGACCCTGACCGTTTTTTGACGGTCCGACTTGCTGTCGCGGCTTGGCGACATGGTCGGACCCACGCCTAGGACCCTCCCTTGACCAAAGGCGGTCATCACGTCCTGTTTTCGGGCGTGTCGCAGTGCTCGGGACACTACACTCATGAGCGTAGTGTCCAATCTTCTGACAGCGATGGCATCTTGCCGTTCGCTTATGACTCAGAGAGCGAAAGTTCTCGCTCTCGATGTAACAGAGGTCCATTGTTTCGGGACCTCCTGTTTCCTGTCTTCTCGTCGGACGATAGTTGGACAGGTTAGCCTGAGACTGTCTCAGGCTGAAGTCTTCTTGTTCCGCATACTCTATCGCCCTTTACAGCGTATGGAAATCGTCTTGGAACATGTAGGTCTTCACTCGCCAATCCACAAGGCCGTATGTGAACACGTTGATGATCGTGTGCTCATCAACAGGGTTATCCCTAACGCTACTCGCAAGGTAGCGCAGCTGCTGTGCGTAAGCGTGCACGTCACGCTTACCTTGCTTTAGCCTCAAGAGTGCAGAGAGTGATCTGAATTCGTCTCTCGGTGGCTCAAACTTCTCTTTAAGCCGAGACTTTAAGATCTCCAACGACTCGAGCACATTTGGGTCGTGAAGCTTGAGCCCTTAGGCTCACGTCTTTGCTCGTCCCGTCAAATTTGACATGGCGAAGGTGACTTGCATCTCGTCACCCTCGATGTGACGGGCCCTGATGGCATCGTCTAACTCGACGAACCATCTCAAAAAGGAATCTTCATCGGTTCCCTTGTACCTTGAGAAATCCATCTTCGAGGTTTCGGGTCGACGCATGTGCGTCGGTCCGCCCATCGACTGATGAGAGCCTTGCTGCTGTAGCAAGGCTATCTTCTGTTGTTTGACGGCAAGTTCACCTTGAAGGATATTGTTGATAGCTGCATTTGACTGGTCTCTGCTAAGAGACTCCAACATACCACTGATGGCGGTTTCGCCCATGAGCACACTCATGCGGCCGGATGCCTCCCACTCTGAGTCACTCGGATGGGAGTAGCCTTCACGTGTGACGTGAAAGCTGTCGTCTTTTACGTCCAACATGTTCATGTTGTACGGACACTAAGCAGTCGTTAGGCGGACTACTAAGTACTACCAGGTGTAGCGGGGCACCCTTTGTTCGGGGTGCCGCGAAACTTCACGTACACTAGTACGTGCAGAGGAAGCTAGTATAATCAACGGCTAAGCTTAGTAAAGGGTAAAAAGAGAACGGTATTTAACATAGTTAATCTATCAGTATAGCTTTAGTCTTTGTCTAACTATGTTAAACTACGCCGTCGTATGACGACAACCTGCTCACCACTCATTGCGCGCGTCTAGCAGCGATTGGTGGTAATCTATGGTTGATATGTCTTATATCAACCAATCTTGGAGCAGCGATTGAATATCATCCTAAAGGGGATAACGTTCCTTCGATATTATCCATCTCAGATAATATCGGTAGAATATTGTCATGCTAGACAATATACCTATTGCCAACGTTTGGTGTGAATTTCATGTAACGGGCTACCCCGTTACATGCATATTCGTGCTGTTGCTTAATCTTCGTAGCCTGCGATGAGTGTTCAGGACAGAGCATAGACCATAAACGGCTCATGCATCAAACAAGTGGTAGTAGTACGTCAAAAGCTCTTTTGTTGGTAGAAGGTGCGTGTCGCAATGATTGACCGGCAACAAATGAACACCCATACGTCTGGTCTGCTCGAGGTATAAAAAGCCGTCTTCCTCCCCATCTTTTTGTTAGCTCACTAACCTTTCGGTTATGTTCGCATCCTTTCTGCACTCCAAATACCTCCGGACGGTCTGTGCTGCCTTTCTTTTCCTGATGTCGGCGAAGCAGTGCTGGAAAAAGCAATAGGTTCAAGATAAAACTAGGCCATTGTATTCAGCAGCAACAACAGCTTCACCGACAACATCGGGAAATCGGGAAGTAGTCTCCACCACTTCGTCAACCAGCCCACCCACCAATTAACATGAACTGAATTCCTTTGGACGACCGTTGACGTGATCGTAGAGCAATATACTACGGGAAACAAATACCCACCCACCAGGTTTCCGTTTACCAGCCCACCACCCCTTTAAATTACCGTATTTAATTCGATTTACGCCTTTGAATTGGTAAGATTGTGAATATCACCGATCCCTGCTGAAGTGATTACAATCTTGTTTCGAAATAGTGAAACACTAGACTTGAACAACCTTACGCATGTCTTTAGGTCGGCGACTCGTGAGCATTTAGTGCAGCTACTTTCTTCACTATACACTGGAACCTGATCAGCTAGGAGTGGCACCAGTCGACGGTAGGGTAGAGTACCTGACATGAGTTAAGTACACTAGCCTGGTTCTATTGCAAGTCGCGTTACCCCACGCATACGGCGAGATGTTGCTGAGCACGTCGCTCCAACCTATTGAAACAGCAAATGGAGGAGCTGGAATTTGGCTACTCAAGAAAAAGTCGTTCTTGTATAATCCCCTGATCTTTACGCAGCGACAACTAGGATCCAGAGACTGCCGTTACTGCTACTTGTATATAAAAGATGACAGTCATCTTCCTCTCGCACGTGCCTTGGTTGAACAACTCGTCGGTAGCGGCACTCATGTGGAGGATCGTGTGTTTTTTGGCAAGACGCTCTTTGGTACTGGAACAGACACGATGCCAAATAGCAAAAATAGTCACTCGTACTTGAGTGTGAGTATCAAATGACACGTCTCTGTTACAGCTAAATGTTGATCGAAAGTGGGCGCCGAGTCTGATCGAAAGAGCATTCGTCTACACAAAGGAAGTCGCTCGTACACGTGGTCACTTCAAGTCATAGACGGGACAAATGCTTTAGGCGCAACATACGTGGGACATCCTGTCAACGAGCTTGGAGTCGTCACGGAAGCAGCATTGGATACAGAAAGTGCAGTGGCGTACAAAGTTCGAGACATTGCTGGACTACAGAGAACCTGCAATACACTACACATGACTGAGCTCAACACTGTTTTTATTTCTTTTATAGACGCGCCACAAGGCCAATTGTCGTTACGACAGGAAGAGGCTTCCAGCGCGGGGTCGACATTCGACGGGCGCGCTGTCGTTGAAGTTTGGCTCTGGTCGATGGAGCTGCAGTGGCACCCGAACCCCAGGTCTTGCCGTTGACGGTGATAGTTTACGTGGCAGTTGAGTCACCCTCAACAAGATCGGTGATTGTGGTCACGCTCCGAGCAGAGTTCAGTGCTGTCAAGGGTGTGCGTTACCGATGCCCTGCGCCCGGTGACGGACCTGAAGCCTCTTGAAGAAAAGCACCTTGTTGAAGTCCAGGTATTTTGGCTTGGCCAGACTCCGCGACTGTTGGAGAGGCCGCACACTGTTCGACAGCAACGGCGATGATGAACAGGGTAGCAGAGACGCGGTTGACGATCTTCATGATGCTCTTGAAAGACACAAATGGAGTGCAGCTTAGCAAGGTAATGCTGCTTACTGGTGGACACATTCAACCAATTCTTGACTGCCGCATACGTGCTTTCGTTACACGCGTTGTCAAAGTCTCGTAGATACGATACAGTAGGGGAATTGATTGCGAGGCCGAAGGGTGAAACTATTGCGGTCCCGATATGTGAGGCTATTAGTGAATGTTCGCAAGCTAAATGCCAAATTTTAAATCGTACTTATCTGTGTGTGGATGTCTATAAATTACGCGGCTCGGTGTACCTTACACGTACGAAGTGCGATCCAGTCTTTCCCCCAAAGGTATGTAAGTATGTTCAAGATCACACTATGACACGGTCATTGTGACGCACGCACATGATTGTCTTAAAAACGATCAATGATGAACATCATCATCTAAATATTGCTTGTATGCAAAAGCTGCTCACGTTGAAATTTTTTTTTATTTTCATAACGATCTAAGCAAATACCGCTCATAAGCGAAGCTGCTCGCGTTTGGATTTTTTTTATTTATAAAAAATCCAAGCAAATGCTGCTCATAAGCAAAAGCTGCTCGCATTTAATTTTTTGTTAAAAGTAAAGTATACTGTAATTAGATATCACAGACATGAACAGCAACATACTCATTCTTCAGCGACCGCTGGTGTAAAAAAATGATTTGCATCTTGATTCATTTCTATGGACTGAATTACTCAAGAGCTGGCTCCCCGATCTTCTATTTACAGTTCACTATAAAGAAGTACAACAGTTCAATTTGACCATGTAAAGGCCAAGACCTTTCCATCCACATAATTGTTTGATGTATGGAATACAGGCTCATTATCAAAAATCTGAAGGCTCATTATCCACTTCATTATTTAATCCTTTTGCTTTCGTACCATTGGGAAAATATGAAAGACAAGAGCTTAACGGCTGGGTTCATTTTATTCGGCTGGGTCTTGCTGATTCGTTATCAGAAGTAGCTTAGAAATGCACCCAATTGGTTTTCAAAGTAGATCTTGAATATTCAATTCACTATTGCTGTTTACTCAATTTCTCTTGCAAAGCTCAAAATGGCGATATCAGTGCATCTCACGGCCAAAACCCTACAACATCCCTGACTTTCTGAACGGACTTCAATCCAATGAGCAACAACAATACAAGTGCGTATCTTTAGTATGCGCACCATGACTCATTTGGGTATTCCGTGAGTGCAGCCTTGTCGTCGCTGCCGTCTGCAATGTATTAGGACGTGCTACATCCCCCTAGTCATGTAAATATGACGATGCCACAAACACCTTCGTCTCCATTTAAAATGGGTTCCTAAAAAATTGAGCCGTTTTTAGTATGATCGTGATGCCAATAAGATGACGCGCTAATTCGTACTCGCAGAAGAACACACTTCCAAATAAGAGCAAGGTGTCGATTCTTTTATTCGGGAAAGATGACATGGAGGTCATGAAAGCGGCCATGATTTTACGACGGTATTATTCCTCTGGAAGGGCTATTTTAATTGAAAATCCAATTGCATCGAGCTCGTGACACCTGCAAAAAAGATCTCTTGTCAACCAAGTACGCCTAAGAGATGAAATATTGGGTCAAGTCGGTAAGCGCGCACATTAATCTCATTTAATATTTAGATACGTGGCAACTTTCATTATGTAGATGCTATGACGCTTAAGACGTCAGGAGATCCGAATGGTCCAAGTTCTGGATTACTGAGTGCTGAGTGCGATCTCGGTGCAGGACACATGGATTGAGATACACTATGCTTTCACTTATGCTGGGGAAATAAAAATGTGCGTGGACCTGATAAAAAGTCGAATCAGAAGTAGTAGTGATGTAACAAATTTAAAAGAAAATGGTTGCTGAGTAAAATTTTGGTGATATAGGACTCGGTCATTCATGAACTGGTAATACTAGGAGTCTGCTTCCTTGACGCGCCGTAGATTAGTGCACGCTAGTGACGAATCCGTAGATGATAGTGAATTAAGAGAGGAGATAGCAGATAATATTGATGACGAAGGAAGCGGAAATCAACCCCTGATTGCATACTTGTTTCGTTGTGGATGTGTACGATCCAGGGATAAGTCCGGCTTTAGCGCTGCATCAGTGCGTGCAACTTGTGGCTAACAACCTCGTCGCAAAATGTCGCCAGATTCGTTCGATCGTGAATGGCAGCCTTTTCCTGGTAGTCCGTCAAATTGGAGTACACTCCTGCATTTAGAAATGTGATGTACACAATTATCAATACCGGCCTGGACAGATAGTTAGCAGTACTATACCAATCACATCTTGAACTATCTTAATACTATGCGACACATGATCCTTAGTTTTGTGAAGACACACCGTGTTTTAATGGACGCAGTTGACTGTGAGCTGATGGTGTCAGATTGAGCGATTGTGGAAACAAAGCCTTATGAAACGACATTTTCTTAAATTCTTCACAAGAGAAAGAAAACCAGGAAGTAAGGCATGCAGTGAGGTATTAGCCGTGAGATGCACTGATATCGCCATTTTGGGCTTCGCACGAGCAATTGAGTAAACAGCAATAGCAAATTGAATTTGAGATGTTCCCCTGAAGAAATTAAGCGTTTTTCTATGCGACTTCTGATAACGAATCAGAATGACTAAGCCGAATTAAAAAAAATTAGCCCAGCCGTTTAGCAAAGCTAAAATATGCTCCACGTAATCCAAAAAAAAATGTCCCAGACAATAGGAAAATAAGAATGCCCCAGATCGTGAGAAAATAACAAAGCTCCACTTCCTTGCATATTTAAGTAGAAGTGGTACACATGAATTGGGATTGTGCTAAATAAAGGGCTTCATCTATCATAACCGCTTTTCTCACGCAATGTGCTATTACGTCTGACTTTCTTTGTCCCCTGAACTCTCAACGTCCAGCGTGCTGCTCACGGAGTTTAAATTTACTAACAGCACCAAATAATTCCTGCAACAGCACTGAAGGGTCGCCATCAGCACTGGTAACGCATTAAATTAGTAAAAGGAGAGTCAAATAGATAGAATGTATTCATGATAGTCTAATTAACAGTTGAACATGCTAAAGTTATTATAGCGTACGAGCAGAAGGTGGATTCCTATTCCATAAAAAAATCAATAATAGCAGCACTGTTTCACGAAAAACACCCAACAAACAGCAATAACACCACAGACGCTAACAGCAGTAGCAAGCGCAGCAGTCGCAAAAGAAGTAGTAGCAGCAGCTAGAACAACGGCTACTACAGCACCAATAACAGCAAACGGCAGTAATGCCAACAACAATAAAAATGACAACAACAGCACTACCACCGCCAGCAGCAGAAGTAACAAAAGCAACAGGAACGTCATAAAAACTTACAGCAACAACGACATGAACAACTGAGCCAAAAATAACAAAAGTACCAAATTTAAAATTAGTAGGCAATAATAATAATCACGAAACAAATGTAGCAAATTATGTTATCGATAATAACAGCGCCGGGACACGTTTACGGCTGCGATTGACGATAGTGACGGCTCCTGTATTATTGTTTTCCGAGACTTTAATCATGGGACAGCGGGCGTTAGTTGGGTAGCGACCGAGAGAATTATATTACTCTAGCATGACATCACTATCCACTCTAGATAACATTTCTAGCCACAAGTCATCTTTATCACTAAAATAACCCACCGAATCCTGAGATGTATCAGACAAAGATGGCAGGATCCCAGTCTGATTGAAGCAACTATCAGTAAAAAAACAAAGGTTACATGTATGCTGTGAAAACAAGCTAACGACCTCTCATGAATATGCTACTTCGAGATTTGACTGCAAATTAGCGGCGCCTTACGATTATATGATACACTTGGTCTCCTTTTTGATCGACGGAGCGTAATCAATATTTAATTGCTAAACCACCGGGACCTTTACAAGCTTCCAATCAAAAACGAGAGCTGCAACAGGGCAACAGTACTCGCTACTAATCCTCCAACACCTCCATACATTACTGCGGTCCCGAAGTAGTGAAGTTGTTAGTGACTGTGCGCAGAGTAAATGCAAACTTTTAGCACCCACTTTCTATCTGTCTGTCCGTCTGTTTATCCGTAAGTAAAGCTAGGTGTACCATAAACGTCGCCCTGCGTGCGATATGGCCTGTCCCATCTTTATAGGTAGGTGTACATCATGTTACTCTTTAGGTGGGTCACTAATTATGACCGCGCATAGCGTTTATCACATACACGCACCAAGGCCCGCACGGGATTAGCTTGAAAGCGATAAATGACGACAGGGAATAAGCAAATGTGGAAGTCTCGCACCTTGGACAAACGGCAATTGTGAAGTCTATTTCGTACGTAGTATTTGATGAATCGGAAAAGTAAGAATTGCTGGTAACTTACCTCTACCGGTGGCTGAGGATGCTTCGTTAGGTTTCCGCTTTCGCATGTGGTCAGTGATATGTCGGCGGCCGCACTTTGATATGATCAACATCATCAGTCGAGATCATATTCTGTCTATCGGATCTCATATTCGCCTCTTCCGAATATTATAAACATCAAACGAGCAACTTCGATACACATCAATCCCACCGTCGCTTTCATTATAACACACACAGCACAACACATTCTTCAGCCGCCGAGCATCTTGGAATGGGCAAGTTTGAATAGACAGAAATTGATTTATTTCTCTGGACTAAACGACTGATATCAAAGAGTGGTCTCCAGAGCTTGCCCCCCATCTTACTCCTAAGACGGATTATCTCAATACTCGAACAGCTGGCTGGCACGGCAGACGACGCCCGTGATGCATTGGACGATCTGACACTATCGGACGGCTATGTCATTAGTTTGAAAATAGAACTGACCATGTCAGATTTTGCCGGCAAGAAGCATGGGCACCTCCGATCTGTAACTTTTAGAGAATTACGATGGCAGTTGGCAGTAGAATTTATGATCAGCCATGGTGACTGGTCCAACCTTTAGCTATCAAGGAGACGAATTTGATCATGTCAGATATGATATGATCGGACACAGTGCTACGAGGAGAGGCCTGTGTGTAGGATGCTAGTGCCGAAAGGCATCAACAAACCTATGCTATGTCATCGTGATTCTACATCTCCAGAAGGTGCTGGTCGTGTGTTGACAATGACGTGCAGGACCCTACAGGTTGATATGAGCGCAATTGATTTATTTCCAGCGTGTGCTCTTAAACGTCCATTCTCTCGTCTGCGACATCGGCAATATGGAAGTGACAGAGGACAGGGTCAAAATGCAAGAACTCGTCGTCAGGTAGCGCACTAATGCGCACAAGTCGTGCCCACAACCCCTCTAGCAGCTATTCGTTTACCTCATTTATACCAACGTTGGCTTTTGGCTACTTGAACGATATTACCACGTACTATAAGCTAACAAACCTCTATTGGCTTTCTACAACATCTTGCAGCCACCTACAAAAACAAGCTGAAGCAAGCTCTCTCGGCGATTGACAAACCTGCAGCAGCTGTAGGCTAGTGTAAAGGGTGGGCGAGAGGAACGATAGAACTGACACCAATCACTAGAGGCTTTCAAATTCGACGAAGTGAGAGCGAGGGGGGCTCGGTCAGCAAAGCTGAAAGCTCAGTAGTAGCTTCTCGATCAAATTACAGAAATCTAATCAAAATAGAGAATTGTCATACCCACCACACTTATCACGATTTCCACCATACCATAAATTTCGATTGAATGGGTACAGGCACACCACATCACACTATCACACGCGCTTATATGCGGTAGTAGAAGACTTGTCAGCCGTAACATCGATATGAAGTGTGAGAGTTAGTCGGGAGAAAGCTGCTGATTCGTTTCTTCCCCACACTAACTTGCCTGTCCCTGACTAGCTTCTTCGCTTTCGGTAACCGTCCTTAAGTTTGTAGTCGAGAAGTTGCACCATTCCTACATCATTATCGATCATAATTCGCTCAAGAGAATGCGGTCCGTAGCTTTGGTATCCGAAATACGAGTTGGGTGACAAGCCCAGCTGACCGTTGCGTCCCTTCCAGCACTTGCCACACGGAAAACGAACGATAACGAGTTCAAGGATAAGGAGCAGACAAGACAACGAATTAGAGAGGGAGTTTATCTGCTGTGGTTGTCGGCTAAACGTTGGGTGCGTCAGAAGCTCGAGGTGAAGATCGCCACTGACTTTGCATTTGAGTACCAGGAAGATGCGTACGCGGCTGAACGAGGTGTACACCTTGTTGAGTGTGGCCATTTTGTTGAAGACGTAGGTTAAAATCCCGTTTTAAGATCTGGGTTGTGTTCAGAATTGTCAGTGCGTGTTGCACAACAGGCGATGTTGAGCGCAGATTGTGGAGGGGTAGAGGAGGGCAAGGCAGTTTGCTTTTAGACGCACCCTTAAGTGCTGATCGGGCACATGCGTTCTAATGGCAATTCGAGGGTGCACTGATCGCAGATCGTCGTTGAAGGCGGGGTGGGATTAATGTGGTGGCGTGGTGCGCCTGTGATTGTTCAAACAAAGTCATGGTGTGGTGGAAATAGTAAAATGTGTGGTGGAAATAACGTTTCTAAAAATATGTGAGGATCCGACCTTCGAAACAAAATGTATTTCTGTGGTGGAGGGTATTTATCAAACAAGACTAATCGAAAACATTCTGATCTGTTTGCTCTGTTACGATTGCATAACCTAAAAAACATGCTGTGCACATACGATCACCCTATGCGATGTGCAGCGTGTTCATACCCACGAAATGAATGCAAAGAGCGTGCTATGCGTTGCATATGTAATCTGTTTCGTGGTATGCTCCATACGATTCCGTGCACGATTATGAGCGTTCGACACCTTCATGGGTTTTGAACGAGGGACTACATCGGTCGTCACGTGTAAAATCGGAACTGCATAGAGCAAGCGACTCATCACTGGAGAGAGTCATGTGCATTTTACAATTTAACGTTCTGCGGAACCTAGTGTCCTCCAGCAATATAGCCTTTGCTCATTGTGCAATTCATCCGCTAGGAGACACAACGAAAGCACCATGAGGACTGGTGTCTTCCTGTATCCCGCTCTGCTCGCAGTCCTGGTCCCCGTTTCGAGCCCTCACGGGTGTGGGACTGAACGAATTCCTCACCACAAAATAAAAGCGTTTGACCAGCCGGAGCCCGTGACAATCTCCGAGAAGGCTGCCGTCAGACTCAATCCGACTCTCCTCGTTTCTTATGGATGCCAACCTTACCCTGCAGTGAACGATTTGGGTCAGATTAGTGGCGGTCTCAACCCTTCCGGAGAACACGATGGTGATTGCAAGGGCTCTGGGCACGGGTCTCAAGTCTACGCGCGTTCAGCTTGGTTCGGGGACAAATGGGCCATTATGTACGCGTATTACTTCCCAAAAGCCCAGCCGTATCGTAGTGTAAGCTTTCGTCACAGCTGGGAGTTCGCTGTTGTCTGGATCGCCAAGCCTGAAGCGCCAGAGAAGACTCTGGCACTCACAACGCTAAGCTTCCACTATGGGTACTTCAAGTACACATCATTTGACGCAAGCGAAATGGACGGGGAGAGAGTCAAACTCAGATATTGGCAGCATGCGGATTCTGACCTTTACTTGGAACTGACTCGCCTGGACGGTGGTACAACTCGACCCCTGATCATGTGGGAGCAGTTACCAGAAAAAGCCCGGTGTGCGCTCAATGAGGCCACGTGGAATGGTGGGTTCAAGTGCCCACTCAGTGATGAGGCTTTTGAACCGCTTTTGAACGCTTCTTGGCCTTTTGATGAGTAGCATTGATCTGGTGGACGCTGTTTGTATTGCTGCATTAAAACAACATGGTGAGAATTTACCTGTCATCAGCTACGGACCTTCAGGGGCAGTTTGGTTGGCGAAAGCACATGGTAAACAATGTAGCGCATCATTACACGACTGTATATTATTCAATTGACGTATGTGTTGTTGGTTAGTCTTCCGACGTTGTCACTCTGTTGAATGTGTCATGGCGCTAATGTTGACCTGCAGCTTCAAGCAGCACACAGAAATGCAATGCATTGAGCATATGTGAGTTGTGCTCAAGCCTATGGTCGTTTTCGTCCAGGGTAGGATCGTGCACTCTGATACATACTCAGCTGACTTCGGATTCACTCTGATTATGGGTTCTTGATTCTTCTTTGAGCCTGGTTCGTGCAGTCAATCCAATCAACTTCTTCACGAATCAACGGAACTAGTCGTGCTACGATTTGTGATCGTCCGGCACGCAGGACTAGTTTGAGCAAGCGTCACGCCCCTCACCACTTCTTCTTCTTCTTCAAGGGTTTGGTTCTGAGACTTACTGAAGCTGACTCGTTTCGATACTGCGTCGATAACATAAAAGTGGAATGTTCTAAGCTGTCACTCAATGCACGGACCACGAGATCCGTAAAGTACTTAGCAAACAAAGATGCATAGCTCATTGAAGCAAGCGACGAAGTGTTCACAACTGTCGTCGATGTCAGAGCCAATGTACGATACGTGTGTTGCAATTCACGAGCTGCAGCGCTATTGTATAATAAACGGAACGCCGCGTAGCCCCTAAACGACGAGTACAAGATTGTCAGAGCAGTAAGCAAATTGAGTTCTGAAATTCACTCACGGATTGTGGTAGCCATAACCCGATGTGCGGTGTGCGGTAAGTAGGACATTTGACCAGTAGATTCTCTGTGGTGGATTGGGTGTTCATCTCTCGGGTACTTGTAATTACCGTGTACTTTTTGCGCTGTGTGAGTCGCCCTGCGCTTTTGTTGGATGCATTGCATTGTATACGGTAAAGGGTTTAATGCTGTTGCTTCAAAGTTGAAGCTGAGCTTACAGGTGAAATTGCTAGAGGTAGCTCGGACCTCGATGCGCTAGCAACAGAGATCAATCCGGTGCGCTGCGGCATATGTAGTCTCGAGTGTGATCTAGCAGTACACGAGCATCCGCATTGCAGTTAGCGCAGTACGCAAGAGTCATGTGCTCGGCAACATTTATGGTCACGACGATTGAAAGCATTACTACATGATTACCATTTGCTATGCTCCTTCCAATCTCCGCGAGTTCACAATTGTTCTTGTCCGCCTGTTCCAAGCTCTTTGTGTTTGAAGCTGCTTTCATTGCATATGTGATTGCTGAAAAGTGGACAAAGTGCAGCCTGTAAGAAAACTACAAGAAATCTGAGAATGGTGACCTGAAACACGCTGGAAAAAGCGGTATCCCGTTTTTCTCTCACGTGCTCAGTCTGTCAACTGTACAACAATTAGCACGCTGCGTCCGACGCACACGTCCCGGTCACCACGAACGGCCGCTTATATGTCTCAACATTATCAATCGCCCGATCGATTCTCGTTTCATAAAACCCGCTTTCACCTGTAGTTATAGCGTCTTCTAACACACTGGTACCAAAATATTGACGACACTAGCGTCAAGATCCTTAGATACATCTACTTATCGGCTCATTGACGCCTCGTGACCTGTATGGCGAGGCTCTTGTCAGCTCCATATCCCCATTCGCAACGACCTTAACATATGTAGCTGTGAGCTACCTGCCACTTTAATACAAGCCAGAAACACTCGCACACGGGCAGCGGTAAGGTTCCAGTAGATTTGGACGACCTCGTTCTGAATCATTTTCAAGAGCTCTCAGACGTGGTCACTTCTCTTGACGACAACAACGAACGAATCTTCGACCGTACTTACAATCAGACATCACAGCCCTGGCTTTTAAAAAGACTATGGCTGCTACTCCTCTCTCTGCTCTATTCGATCGGTCCCTTGTTCTTTACTTTTGCATCCTGTATGGTTCCGAGCTTGACGACGTCTTCTTTCAGGAGTTTGACAAAGTTACACATCCTGATAAGTCAAGAGTTTCGAATGCCTGTATTTGTGCAACTACACCTAAAAGATTGTTTGATAAAAAAAATGGGAGTTGAATGCATGCCACTGCGGAGACACCTCACGACCTACATGAACATAGCGACACAAACTTGCTTGAGATAGGCAGTAGTTGCTCAAGAAGAGAGCTATTTCGTCTATGTTGACGCTATCAGCACCAAGCGTTACTTAAACACCTCCTGAAGAGGAAACCAAAACCACGCCTTCTACCCTAGCTCTATTCGATCGGTCCCTTGTTCTTTACTTTTGCATCCTGTATGGTTCCGAGCTTGACGACGTCTTCTTTCAGGAGTTTGACAAAGTTACACATCCTGATAAGTCAAGAGTTTCGAATGCCTGTATTTGTGCAACTACACCTAAAAGATTGTTTGATAAAAAAAATGGGAGTTGAATGCATGCCACTGCGGAGACACCTCACGACCTACATGAACATAGCGACACAAACTTGCTTGAGATAGGCAGTAGTTGCTCAAGAAGAGAGCTATTTCGTCTATGTTGACGCTATCAGCACCAAGCGTTACTTAAACACCTCCTGAAGAGGAAACCAAAACCACGCCTTCTACCCTAGCTCTATTCGATCGGTCCCTTGTTCTTTACTTTTGCATCCTGTATGGTTCCGAGCTTGACGACGTCTTCTTTCAGGAGTTTGACAAAGTTACACATCCTGATAAGTCAAGAGTTTCGAATGCCTGTATTTGTGCAACTACACCTAAAAGATTGTTTGATAAAAAAAATGGGAGTTGAATGCATGCCACTGCGGAGACACCTCACGACCTACATGAACATAGCGACACAAACTTGCTTGAGATAGGCAGTAGTTGCTCAAGAAGAGAGCTATTTCGTCTATGTTGACGCTATCAGCACCAAGCGTTACTTAAACACCTCCTGAAGAGGAAACCAAAACCACGCCTTCTACCCTAGAAACTTGAAGCTACTGAGCTGGTCCACTGGCACTTCAGTCTCCTCACGCTTCTCGAGATTCTTTACTTTGACGCACTGCTTACAAATTTCTGCTTCTCCAAGAATCACAGCGTAACTGCTGCCATAACGCTCTGCAGTCTGTAGCAATAAATCACAAGAAGTCAGCAACAGAATTCAGTATACTTCGTACCTTATAGAATCATCGTCACCTTCATTTGCTTCTTCATGTTACCACACCCGTGGCAGAAATGGACCACCAAACCACAGCGTCGGAGCACCTGAAAACGAACCGTACATACCATGCATGTTAACCAAACAAGCCCGCAGACAACCTTTCGTAAGCTTTGTGAAATACCTTCGCGATACGCATAGCTTCATGAAGCACCCGATTCGAGCTGTCGCCAACAAGAACAGGGACAACCTGAATACCCAAAGAAAGAAAATACAAAATGCGTAAGATTACGGTTGTGTAAACTAAGCGTTTAAACGTACCGCAACGGAGAACACCGTCTTGGTTGGCATCTCACGCAGCAGACTCAGCCTATCTACGCCTGCCGCCCAGCCCACGCAAACCGTTGCGTGCCCCCCCAATGACTCTACTAGTCCGTCATAGCAACCACCCGCAAGCACCGTTATACCACCATGAGTTGTTCTCTCCTTGTCCGGAGCGTCAGACGTTTGTTGCACAAACTCGAACACAGTGTTGCTGTAGTAGTCCTGGCAGCCATTCAGTATGAAAACATCAACACACAGTGAGCTACTCGTAACATCTCTAACGAACACTCAAAAGGCCATTTCCGTACTAGTCCTCTCACGAGACGTGGATTCTGTCTGTAGCTGATACGTAATGCGCTCAGGCCCGTCAGAACGGCGTCAAACCGCTATAAAGGAGCAACAACACGATATCAGTGAACATCCGACAGGCGGTACGTACATCATCCATTTCACTGCTACCGTTTTTGATTCATCGGAAAGAAAGTCGCTGAGCTGTGGTGCGTCCGCAACCAGTTTCTGGTCAATTTCACTCTTCGAGTCTAGTATCCGAAGAACGCTTCCTCGCTCGAGGCTGGAAAACGCATCGATCAGCTCTAACTACTACAACACAAGCAGCATCTAACAAGATCTACGCACCGATTGACGCTATCTGTAGACAATTCATTTCTGTGTGCTGAAAAATATACGCCCAGCGCAGCTCGATACCGTGCACGACTATCGTGTCAAAAAATAATCACTGTGAGCCTTCTTGAGCGTCTCGATTTCCTCTCGTGCCAACAATATCATTCGGATAAAGACCTTTCGTAATCACCGAGTGAGTTTAACTCCAACACGACTTTGTCCTGAACGCCTAAAGCATCCAGGACGTCAGCTGCCACGGCGATGACCTGCGTTGGCACCATACCGGTAAGACTACTACAAAAGTTGTTTATTCTGACGCACTTGTTGTACCTCGACATCGACTGATGGGCCTGACGAGCCCACAAATTCCACACCTGGCAAAACAACGCAACGGCGACAACATCAGATCACCTTCCCGACACGTTCTTGTACTGAGAACGCACCAAATTGCTGAAACTCTCGGTATCTCCCGCGCTGAGGACGTTCGTACCTGCACGTCCAGCATTAATCCAACACAATGCGAAACATTTGACGCGTCGGTCATACCGTCATCGACAGCATCATACACTACGCACCGGAACATGCTCCCCGAGTACGACAGCTTCTGTGGAAGTGAGGAGAGGAGTTTGTTGCTAATCAGCGCCCGCACGATGCCTGCAAAAACGTTCTCAAACGCCATCAGCCACGCGTTTACAACAGCCAATCAGCGCTCAAAGTGCCAAGAACGCAGCACCAACCTACCGGCAGTGCCTTCAGGTCTCAGCGTAACGCTCTTGCCTGACTTGTCCTCAAACGTGTACATCTCCTGCACGCAATTTCTTTCAGTGATGGCCACCAAGGAGCCACGGGAATCCGCGCTCGCACCTTCTGAATGATGTCGGAGCCATCGCCCAGCGACCGCGAGAACAGGTCCGTGTACTCCAGCAACGGCGTCTGAATCTGAGGAGAGGAAAACCTCTGTATAAGAATACCGGTACGCATCCGTCACGTGAGTATGATACAAGCCATACTGAGCGGAATCCATAGCCTTCGACCGTCTGCTGCAGCACTTGCAGCACCTCGCGATGGTGCTGCAGTTCATCCGCGAGCACGTCCCTTGTGCCCCTTACGCGATTGACTTGTTCATGTTTGGAGTTGGTCGTTAGCCAGCGACAGGCCGTGCTCATCCGTGCCATCCCCTGGACTCGGTGCAGCCCTTGCATTGGCATGTTTGGTATTAGTTTCGAGATCCGACGATTGTCATAGTTGATATTCAGGTGCCATGAATAGGTGCGTATACCGGTATCAGAAAAGTTTAAAGCAAATCGATGAGCGGGTGCGGGTGACAGCAGGGCTCGCACCAAGTGGTTCTTTACAATCAGATTTTAATGCTTTTTTATTAAGACCCAAGAGTCTGTGATCTTCCAAAATCAGATTTTATCCGGTCCGATAATCGTGTGACTCACGCACGATCCGACCGGTTCGGCGATTCCTGCAACTACAAGAAAGTCAAAAGACAAATACAAACGTCAGTGTATTAGCTGTTAGAAGATATAGCTTTTAACAGGCTACGTCGGTGTAGAGGCAACTGCAAGACCTGTTACAGGTTTAGGTCAGCCTCACCTGATTGGTCGACAAGTTGACGGTGGGACGAGACAGGTTGACATATGGGACGCGAGAAGACGATCGTCATGTCGGACTATTAAAGACAGATGGTAGGAGAGACAGAGACATACAGACGTCATATGGGACCAGGACCAGCACATGGGATGGGCACGCTGGACGTATGCCAAAGTACAACTTGACAAGGTCAAGTTGCAGTGCTGGTGCAAATACATACAAATAGGGTTGACTAGGGAGAATAGTTAGCACCCAATATATTTCACTTTTACTACCTACATCCTTTGCACAAGTGCAAGAACTACCAACATCTAACAGGTTATGAGCCCAATCAAACGTGTTGGTGGTGCGGCTGAACCAGCTGCACATACCGTGGTGGTCGACGACCATCACCTGGAAGAAAAGTCGGCAGCGCCTGCGGAGGCGATCGAGAAGATGCTAGCCATGCTAGGAGACCTGTCCGAAAGGATGAACCGGATGGAGGTCGCCCAGAGAGAGCAAGGCGGCAAGAACTGGCAGGGCTCACCCGAGTCGAGTATCGCCAGTCGGCAACAGGAGGTCGGGGCAGGGATTAATCTCCAGACTTTGGACCGTACCCCTCCTAAGAAATCCCCAAACGTGTCACCAGCAACCTATTTCGGTATTCGGCGACAACAACAGGCAGGTGTTGAAGGTCCTCACACGAGAAAAGCAGAGGAAGGAGTCAACATGGGTCAGGTACCCGTCCCTGGGATATACCGGGCAGGTTTGCCTGAAGGACGCTACCCCGGTATGGGTATGCCTAACGGGGGGGGGGTGTTTACCCTGGGCAGCCGGGAGTCGGCATGCCGGACGCGCAACAGCGGAAGCTGGCATTGCAACCTTTTGACAGAATGGAGCTCTACCACGGCCTTGGCTGTGGATTCATGGAGTAAGGCAAAGAATTTGTCAGACAAGTCGGGTTTGCTGAGCGAGCGTGTGGTTTCGTGTGGCTAGAGGACATCAAGGTTGATGTTCTAGGTCAGCACCTAGCCGGCGAGGCACAGACCTACTATCGTCGTCAAGTGGAAACGTGGTGGTTTGAAAACCAAACCCTGGAACATGCGATGCATAGACTACTGCAGACCTTCACGACGAAGATCTCGCCAGCACAAAGCATGAAGTTGTTCACAGCACCCAAGTCATCCCATCGAAACTGGACAGACCATTTTCTGTACTTGACGGCCGTCAGTGACGCCTGTGGAGGTGCAGACAACCTTGTGCTGGACAACATCGTCCATTATGCTGACCCACACATGCGAACGACGATGTTGTCCATATTGGACATTCATCGCACCGATTACCTGCGGCAAGCAGAAGAGTTGGCGCAATTTGCCCAATCGACGGAGGTGGACACTCACTCGAAGAGTTTTGGACGCGATGTGGTGAACACTGTCGAGGTTGCGCAGGAGTTCAAGGACAACCACAAATCAAGACCGTCGCTACCACGCACCGACACCCGGACTTGTTTCAAATGTGGAGAAGTGGGTCACATTCGTTCGAGGTGCCCCAAAATGAAGAAGAAGCCCTCGGGTGCGAATTTCGTTTTCGCGGTTGGTCGCGGTGCGAGTCGCTCGCCCGGACAATGGATTCTCGACAGCGGTTCGAGTAGACATTTGGTCAATGTTCCGAGTCTGCTGACTGATCCGATTGATTGTCGCAGCGAGTGCATGACTGCAGCCACTGATGAAAGTGCGCTGCGCATCACCCTTCAAGGTACTGTGGACATTCATGTCGTCGCTTGGAGTCGTCAACACAATGAGACTCCTCAATGTACAGTACGCGGAAAACCTTGAGCGTAATATCCTTTCCTATGGATTGCTCAAGGCCAAAGTTTGCGCTCTCGAATAACGAGGAGAGAGGCGCGTTGTCCTCCGGTGTGGGTGGTACTCCCATCATGGACGTGGAATTCTGCAACAACGTGTTGGTTGTCGCGGTGAAAAATCACAGTGATCGTAATTCCAAGCCACCACAAGAGGCACTGATGACTGTCGTCAACCCACCTGAATATGAATCCGATTCGGATGTTCTATGCGGTACCTTGATGGACTTTCATCGACGTTTAGGACACCTTTGTTTCGACACGATCGTCAAGATGGCGAACGATCCGGCATCAGGCATACGACTGACTGATACGACACGTCAAAAGTGTCTGGCCTGTGCCAAGGGAAAACAGACCAAGGGAGCCCAGTCGATGAGAGATACAGGCGCGAATTCGCCAATCGACGCGATCGGGGGCGTCATCTGTTCGGACCTCAAGGGTCCCATGACCCCCCGAGACCGTTTGGGAAATCGGTACATGGTCAACTTCATCGACCACCGTTCGAGTTACTGTCGAATATTTTTGGCCAAGTCGAAGGATGCAGCCGCGTCAAAGTTCAAGCTCTTCATGGCAAACTTCGAGCGCGAGTTCAATTGCAAGATTCACGTCTTACGCACAGATGGTGGTGGTGAATACAAGACGCTCGATATTTTCTGCTCTTCGGAAGGCGTCTTGCGTCAAGTAAGCAAGGCGAAAAACCAAGCAAGCAACGGCAAGGCTGAACGGATGCACCGCACCGTCATGAACATGGTGCGGAGTATGATCTTTGCATCAAACCTGCCGCTCTCATTTTGGGGTGATGCTGCAGAGTACGCCTCGTACATACTGAATCGAAGCAAAACCAAGTCCAACCCCGGATGTGCATCGCCCTTGGAGATCCTGACAGGCAAGGCTCCCGTGCTGACAGACATTGTGGCCTTTGGTTCAACATGCACTGCGCACAGAGACCCCAAGAACAAATCACTCGGTGAACGAGGCAAGGCGGGCATCGTCATTGGGCGAGGCAGCGAAACGAAGGGATACAAGGTGTACATCCCAGTGGATAAGGTGGTCGTGGTGACTTAACATGTTCAAAACATATAAGCACCACAGGATGACCAGGATGAGAAAAAGACCTGTCCAGACACGGCACGACGTCATAAGGAGCCAGGCTCTGATCATCAGGCGGATGGAGAAGATCGGCAAGATGGTGTGAAACGTGCGAAGCAGGTCAGAAAAGGTCGAAAGTCGACATGGACCAGAGAGCGACATGGGACAAGATCGACAACATCAAGTCAACCAAAGGTGGTTGAAGTGGACACCTCGGTGGACGGTTGCGACATCGTGAACACGATCGTCGAGCAAGACCCGAAGCACTATGGTGAAGCAATGAAGAGTGGACAACGCGACCAATGGCAGGTAGCCATGACCGAAGAATTGGACGCAATCGAGGCGAACGACGTCTGGAAGATCGTAGTGCCACCAAGAAATTCACACGTGTTGCACAACAAGTGGGTCTACAAAACAAAGACCGACGCGAACGGAGATATCGAGCGATACAAGGCTCGACTAGTGGTTTGCGGAAACGAACAAGTCTTCGGCATCGACTACAACCTCACGTTTGCGGCCGTCATGGACTTAGTGACCGTCAAGCTAATCCTGGTGCTCTCCAAGCGATGGAACGTTCCCGCACGTCATGGGGATGTTCCGAACGCCTACGTTAAGGCAGAAAAGGAGGAGCATCTGGATATCTTCATGAAGGTTCCAAAAGGCATGCAAATCACTAGGGAGGAACTTCAAAGTTTCGGTGTGGAATCTCCTGGTGAGGTCGCGCTGCTGTTGAAGAAATCGTTGTACGGACTAAAGCAAGCGGGACGACTCTGGAGCAAGCTCTTACACTCCAAGCTGACCGAGAATGGCTACAAGCAGTGCACGACGGACATATGTCGATACTACAAGCACCAAGGCCAAGAATGGACCATCGTCGGAGTATACGTGGACGATCTTCTGGTCACGGGAACCAAACAGTGCGCGGTTGATGAGTTCTTTGCGGGCATGGAGACACTGTCGATCAAGGATCTCGGCGTCGTTCAGAAGTTTCTGGGACTCAGGATCTCTTTGGATGACACTCAAGGATACATTCTGGACCAAGAGGTCATGATCGACGTGTTGCTCAGGGATTTCAAGTTGGAGTCAGCGAACGGTGTGCGAACGCCAATCGGAGATGAATGCAATGATGATAACAAGGATGATGTGGACTATCTACCCGCGAGAGGTGCAAGCGGTGAGTCAAGTTTGAGTGCTTTTCAATCCTTGGTCGGGAGTTTGCTATGGATCGCAAGATGCACGCGGCCCGACATATGTTTTGCAGTGCATAAGGCAACTCGTCAAACACACAAGCCAACCACCAAGGACTGGAAGATTGCGAAACGCATTGCAAGATACTTGAAGGCGACAAAGAACTTGAGGTTGCACCTGAACGGCAACGGACCGACTCAACAAAATGTCAAGATTGAGTGCTGGAGCGATGCAGACTTCGCCGCGGATAAGGCGGACCGTAAGTCAGTGTCTGGATACGTACTAACTTTGGACGGTTCTGTTGTGTTTTGGTCGTGCAAGAAGCATTCAGGTGTGTCGCTGAGCACTATGGAGGCGGAGTTCATATCCTCATCCCAGGCAGGACGCGAACTGCTGGGTGTGAGGGAACTACTGCTGGATCTAAAGCTGCAGGTATGCATGCCGATGCCTATGTGGGTGGATAATCAAGCGGCGATCAAGCAACTCGAGGCAGAGAAGAGCACAAAGAGCGCGAAGCACGTGGACATCAGGTTTAAATTCATCTGCCACTACGCGCGTGAAGGAATTGTGGTGCCCAAGTACGTCAAGACTGAGAGCATGATGGCGGACATTCTGACGAAGTCTTTGCCAGCGCCGAGAATGGAGGAGCTACGCAAAATGTTCAACTTGAGGACGATTCAGGCTGAAGTCGAGGAGGAGTGTTAGAAGATATAGCTTTTAACAGGTTACGTCGGTGTAGAGGCAACTGCAAGACCTGTTACAGGTAAAGTGCAACCTCACCTGATTGGTCGACAAGTTGACGGTGGGACGAGACAGGTTGACATATGGGACGCGAGAAGACGATCGTCATGTCGGACTATTAAAGACAGATGGTAGGAGAGACAGAGACATACAGACGTCATATGGGACCAGGACCAGCACATGGGATGGGCACGCTGGACGTATGCCAAAGTACAACTTGACAAGGTCAAGTTGCAGTGCTGGTGCAAATACATACAAATAGGGTTGACTAGGGAGAATAGTTAGCACCCAATATATTTCACTTTTACTACCTACATCCTTTGCACAAGTGCAAGAACTACCAACATCTAACATTAGCAAGATGTGCAACCTCCAGACGAACTTACTACTATGTCGCAACCTTCGTTGTCTTTAAGCCATTCTGATGAGCATGTCGATGACATTCAACGAAGACGTCCTCGATCTTTAGCAGCGAGCGTGCAGGTCGCCATGTTGGACTTCCTGATTATAACATGGTGAGTCTGTTAGATTTAATTAACTCTTGATAATTGTTAATTAGAGTATTACCAAAAGTTTGTAATATATAGTGAATATACCATAAGATCGGATATCCGGAAACACTCACCGATTGGCTGATATGGGCCATCATGTCAGCCAGCTCTAGTGGTCCAATCAACGATGGACGCGCGCAATGGGTGGTGAGCAAGACTTTCGCATGCAATTTTGTAGTAAATAGTATTAAGTTGGGACTAAAAACATACATACACGTATTTAGAACCTAATCATACTTGCGATTGTTTTACTTTATACTCCTATTGAACGCGTCGTTCATTAGTTAGCCTTCCTCTGCACGTACGGTGTACGTAAGCTGACGCGCGGCACTAACTACACTGTTGTCAGTGTAGGTGCACTAGCACTGAAGCAGTACTAGTGACAAGTGCCTTGTTACACTAGTGGTCGTTGATAAGGATATGAAAATGAACTTCTGGCGCCTGACCTAAAACGCATTCACTCTGCTATATCGGACTGCAAAAATTGGTCTCCTGATGATGCGTTTCCACTAAATGCCAAGAGTGCTGGATGCATGCTTCAAAGGACTCTGATTAATCACCATTAGACGAGCGAAATCGCCAAGGTACACCTCAACTCCCGTGATTTATCTGAGTGGGACTGACGATGTGCAACCACTAACAGATAGCGGACTCTATGATTGAGATGCCTGTAGATGACGAGCCCCGCGACACATTTGATGAAACATGAGTGATGACCATTGAGATTCAGTGGACCAAGAGATTGCGGCAACACTAAGTCAAAGCTGAATAACAGCATCAAAATCAAACAAAAGACGAACCGACATTCAAAACAACTTGCCTTCCTTCTACGAATGCATAGACGATGGTGAAGATGATTTCGGTAGTGAATATTCCCAGTAGGCGGCCGCATTAATACACGATGCGGAGTCGCAGGTCACCCTTTTCCGGTACTAAGACACGAGGCGTACCGCCCCCAACAGCTGAATACTTCAGTAATGTAACGGGGTGAATCGTTACATAACAATTTATAAGAAATTGTTTATAGAACATAACTATATGAGTTATATTCACAGAATATTGTCATAAGGACAAATATTCTGTAGCACTTACGAGTAGTTCCTAATTGGTTGATATAGGCCATTATATCAACCAACGAAGACGCGCCACGACAGACGCACGCAATGAGTGGTGAGCAGATAGTTGATATGCACATTTGTATTTAGACATAGTTAGATGAGGATAAATAGTGGTTTATTAACAGACATTAACTATTATAAATACAGTTCTACTTTTTACTTTAACCAAGTACTCGCATCTCCTTACCGTCTTCCTCTGCACGTACGAGTGTACGTGAAGTTCCGAGGCACCGCCTTATTCTGTCATCAGAATAAGAAGCTTGTACTGTCATCAGTACAAGCTTCAGGGTGCCCCGTTACACCTGGTAGCACTTCGTAGTCCGTCCAAGGACCACGTCCACACCTAACATGAATATGTTGGATGATGATGATGACCAAAGCTTTCAGGCTACGCGTGACGGATACTCCCATTTGAGCGATGTCGAATGGGATGCGGTTGAACGAATGGGTTCAACCATAGGCATCCATGCTGTTAGCGTCATGCTAGAGGCTCTCAATTGAGATGCCCAACATGCTACTATCGCCAAGTTCATTCAAAATGAACTTGACGCTGAACGCGAGAAAGTAGCCTTGCTTCACCAACAAGGTTCTCAACAAGCAGAGTTGTTGAGCGAACAGGGTGCTCAGCAGTTTGAGCTGTTCAGACAGCAGCAGGCTGCTGCTGGTGGGTCGATGCATTCGCGTCGACCCGAGACCTTGAAGATTGACATCTCCAAGTATAGGGGAGTCGAAGAGGACTCCCTCTTGAGATGGTTCGTCGAATTGGACGACGCCATGAGGGCGCGTCGCATCGACGACGGGAATATGCAAGTTGCATTTGCCCAATCAAATCTGGCAGGACGTGCCAAGACTTGGGCACTGAGGCTCAAGTTGCACGACCCATATGCGTTTGGGTCGTTGGAAGTCTTCAAGTCGCGGCTCAGACAAACGTTTCAACCTCCTAGGGCTGAGTTCAGAGCTCGAACCGAACTCTTGAAGCTCAAGCAGGGTAAGCGTGATGTGCACGCTTAAGCGCAACATATACGACATCTTACGAGTTGTATAAGTTCCAATCCGGTGGATGAACACACGTTGGTTTCGGTGTTCATGCAGGGTCTTGCGGATGGTCCCGTCAAGACTCACCTGTTTCGGCTTGAACTAGATTCACTAGAACAAGCCATTTCAAATGCGGAGCAGGAAGACTTCAGTCTGAGACAGGCTCGCGCCAGCTCGACATCATATCGTCAACCGAGGCGATATGACAACGGAGGTCCAGAGCCGATGGAACTCTGTTATGTAGAGAGCGAGAAGGATCGCTCTACAGACTACAAGAAGTTGCAGAAATGAAACATATGTCAAAAGACAGGACACTACGCTTACGAGTGTAGTGCCTCGTCCAGTGTCTCGCAACACTGGGCGTAGTAATCGTCCACCCATGAGAAAGGGCTGGGACGCGGGTCCGCTGTTGGTGCAAAGACGCAACAACGGGATGGACCGCCAAAAAACGGACAGGATCAGTAGGTGCGGAGCACCCTACTGGTCCAGCAACGTCAAGAGAATTTGTAGGCCTCTTGATAAAGGTTGCTCCCAACACACAAACGTTGTGCGTTGCTGCTCTAGGTAATGAGATCTCACTCATTACCTTGAAACTCGAAGTGACGAATAAGTTATCCCTTCGAGCTCTAGTCGATTGTGGGGCGTCCAACAATTTTGTGCGACGCCAATCGCTAGAAGATGGTCACTTCAAGTTCAGTGAAGGTGACACACCTCCTACGAGGATGACGGTACGTCTTGCGACAGGCGCATCCGCAACCTTCATGAAGCGTATAGTGAAGATCCACTATACGCTAGAAGATACCCAATATGACGATGACTTTATCGTATTGGATTTGGATGACAAATTTGATGTCATCCTTGGAATACCGTGGCTCAGAAGGTACGAACCACGGGTAAACTGGCAACATCGAACAGTAACGATGCCTGCCGCTTGTTCATCAGATGGCCATCTGATGAACGTTTTGGAGCGTCCACAAGCGTGTGGATGTACTACGAGTGAGTGCGATGGCCTCACTTGTGGTACGGTCGTTAGTACGACTGCACAAACCTTAGTGTAACAAACGGTTACACTTCGGAGCAAAGTTCCAGCAGCTGTGAGGAAACACAGGCTGCGCCGAAGGTCCACCACTCGAATAAGTCGAGTGGACCGGGACAAAGATGTATCCCTAGCGGGGAACATCTAGAAGAGAAACAATCGATCGCTCAGGTTAAGCGAAACGATAATCCTAGATCGACTGGAGAGTCTGTCGTAGAGGATCTCGCTGTGGTTGCGCAACCACAGCTAGAGGAAGTCAAGGAATAAGTCCCGATATTACAGATACGGTGGAAATAAGTTCCCCGAAACCCGCGGGAATAAGTCCCCGGGAAGACGAAGGAATAAGTCCTTCGAGGCCTGAGGGAATAAGTCCCCAGGAAGTGACAGAGACATTGAATGTCCTAGTCAATGATGGATCAAGTGTAGGCGCTTATACACTTGATCTGATTGCGCCTCCGAAGTTGACTTCGGAGATCACTCAGTTGCCAACGCTCGAACATAAAAGGTTCTTGCGTGATCTGCGTAGTGGCAAAGTCAAGCAGATCTGCGTACTCGTCGCTGACGAAGAGTGTGTAGCCGACATAAGGTCAGCAACAGTGTTCACTGAGAACGAGAGGGTTCTCAGTAGTTCATCTATGGACGAGAGTGTCCTGGATGAAAAGACACGAGTTGAGCGATATGACTCCCAATCGTGGGAATCGCTCAAGACAAATCCTCTCTACGAAGATTTGGTTAAATTTAAGGATGTATTCCCTGAAACTGTTCCGTGCGAGTTACCGAAGGATAAAGGTATTCGACACGAGGTCGAGCTTAAACCAGGCTCGAAGTACTGTGTCATGAAGCAGTGGCCACTGCCCCGTGAACAAGTACTTGCGATCGACAAGTTCTTTGCCGATCGTTTAGCTGCGGGCCATGTGAGGGAATCGACTTCTTCACATAGCTCTCCGACCTTCTGTGTGCGAAAAGCAACATGAGGGTGGCGGATAGTGCATGCATTTAACAAGTTGAATGCTGCAACGGTACCGGCTCAGACGCCGATACCAAGGAAGGACGTAATCATTGATGGTATGTCAAAGAGTACCATCTTTTCGTCCATGGATTTGATGGATGGCTTCTATCAAATCCTTATGCGGGAACGGGATATACCCTATACCGCAGTTAGCACGCCTAGTGGCATGCTCTGGGAATGGCTAGTAATGCCACAAGGGCTTAGCAATGCCCCTG